GGACTCTCAACCACTGCACCACCAGGGAAGCCCCTAAGTAACTCTTGACCATATGCTGTCACGTGTGGCTTTCCCACTCAAATGAACAATTTCTGAGCACCAGCTGTGGACCAGGAACTGTGGGAAGTTCAGTCCTGACAACAATGATGACTTATTCAGCTCTCATGGAGCTTCTGAGGGCATGGGGTTCATTTACTCCGAGGCTGAGTTCTGTGAGACACCATATCCTCCTTCAAAGTCCCCAGGGTCTCCATGGTTGATTCACTAGGATCTGCACTAGTGAATCATCCCTTCACTTATGCCACCCACCCGGAGCTGAGGCTTTGCCCCAAGCCCCCTGCTCCTTCCTTGCCCAATTTCTTCCCTCCTTCTCAGGACCCATGAAACCTAAGCCCCCTTCCCATCTCCCCCGCCAATCCCCAACAGGGGTCACAGCTCCTCTGTATCGTCAGAATGGAGCGCTGGGGCGGGATCTGTTTCCCCCGTGTCCTCATTGAAAATGTAGACAAGAAGGGAAGGAGTAGCATTGCTCCCTTGGCCTTAACATGCAACCCTGCAGACCGTGCCCCTGGCTGGGGACACAAGTGAAGTAAGTGAGCCGGCGACGCCTGAATCTGGTGGGGATGGGGGTCAGAGCCGCAGACTTCCCTTTACGTCCCATCCAATCCTTTCGGTCCTTCGATAGTAAAGACAATTGGAATTATAACTGTAATAACAATAGCTAACATTCATGGAGATTTGCTGAGCCAGTGTGTTAAAGCGCTCTATGTGGCCTAGCTCATTTGACCCTCACAGCAGCTTTATGAGCTAGCTTTTATTTTTATCTCCATTTCCCAGATAAGGAAACCAAGTTTTCTCCCCCAGGGAGGACAGAGGGTAGATTATTAAGCTACAACTGAAAGCAGAAGGGAAGGATGAGCAAAGATGACAAGAGCTTCCAGAAACACTCCCTTTCTCTCCCTGCCCCTTCTTTTTCCCCAGGGTCTCTTCATTCCCACTTCTAGAAGAAATGAAGTTAGAAGAGAAAGAAACAAAAATAAATACAAGGAAAAATAAACATAAGGAACTAAAGGCACATCCTTGGTGCTACAATGAGTGATGCTACCCCCCACCCCCTGCCCACCAAGGCACCAGCAGCAGGGGATGGGCCAGCTATTGGGAAAGAAAGGAGGGGCTTGCCCTACCTCTATAGCAACAACCTTTCCAGAGCTTCCAAAGATCAGAGTCCAAATCCCCCCCACCCCATTGGGTGGCCCAGAAGAGTTCCCTTGCCCAACCTTCCAACCTGGAGGGCCTCTCACAGGGGCCCATTCATTACCTGGCCAGAAGCAGGTTAACTCCTCCCCCAGCTCAGCCCCCTTCTCCCAGGCTGACAGCTCTGCAGGCTGCGTTGGCCCTCACTCCATTCTCCCCTTTGCCCCAGGAAGGGGAAGGGTCCCAAATCTATTAGCATAGCAACTAGGTAAATGCAGACGGAAGCCTCCCAACCCCATGGCTGACCCTTTATTACCCAGGCCTCTGGTTTGTCTTGCCCCAGACTCTTGATCATGCTGGGTAGCACTTCCCCAAGATGAGGGTCCTTTAGGATGCTGCCATCACTTGTCCCTAGGGAGTTGCCTCCTCCAGCACAAGGATCCAGGCTCCTGCTGCAAAGCTCTGCTCATATCCTTTAAGGAAACTCTCAACCCTTCTCCCACGTCACTGGTTCTTATTGTGTCTACTCCCTGAAAGATCTCCAGTTACTGAAGCACATAAAAGGTACCAGCATGGATGAGTCCAAACCTAAGTCACGGGCAGCATTCATGAGCATAGTTTATATTTCCATAGTGCCTCCCCTTGGTCCTCACACCCACTGGGCAGTGGCCCAAGCCCCTTCCGCCTCTCCTCCTCCAGCACAGGGTCTCCACACTCCGCCAGGCCCAGCTGAGCTGGGCTTGGCTCCTCCCCTGAGCCCCAGGTGGCCCCATCACAACGCTCACCCCACCCCCAGCTGCCCCCGAGTGTGTTCACATTACCGTGTAGGTGCTCCCAGAGGCTGCCGGCTTGTCCAGGAACAGTAGTTCCTTCTCTGAGAAACAAGAGAGGTCAGCCAGACCCCGTCGCCAAGCCAGCGGACAAGTGGAGGTGGGCGGGGAATCCAGGCAGGAGCGACCTGGCACTTCCTTTTCCCGGCAAAGTCCTGCCTCTCAGCTGCCCTAAGGAGGGGTGGGGAGTCTGTCCCTGTCTATTGGCAAAGTCCAGCCAAGGTGAGGGGAGGATCGCAGGAGTCAGTGGACTAGGTCTACTACTTAGGTCTAGGACTAGTAGTCTAGGTCTGGAAGGGAGGGGACAGAGGGAGACAACCTGGGTACAGGTGAGACCTCTCTAGAGTGCCCTCTGCTGGTCAGTGACTGTCCCCCACCAGAGACTATTAAAACGGAACAAGGTAAGAGGAACCCTAACCAGGGTTCCTCAAACTGTAATGTGCACCAACCGCCTGAGCGACCTTGTTAGAATGCAGGTTCTGATCCCGTTGGTCTGGGGTGGGGCCTAAGGTTCTACATCTTAGAAGCCCCCAGGTGATGCCATTGCGGCCTGTCCAGGGGGCTTAGACAATACCTAGCTCTACACCCGTCCTGCACAAATATGATGGTGGAGGCACCGAGTTAATGAGCCACAGCTGCTGGCGGCATTGGGGCACAGCCATATCTGCTCCCTACCCAGCGCTCTTTCCACTGCCCACAGGGATGCTGCCACTTGGGGGAGAGTTGAACTTCAGGCCGTCCGCCAGCCTGGTCCTTCCTTTGACACTCTGCTGCTGGAATGAAAGCTCCCTGTGCAGAGGGATGTTTTTCCAGCCATTTGCTCTGTATCCTCGGCTCTCAGTACAGCCTGATCCAAAGTAGGTGTTCAATAAAGACTCGAATGAATGAATGGGCCAGCTGAGAGAAAAGGGGAGGCATTTTGGATCCAGACTGCCAACACTGAATCCAGTGACCCACCTGCTGGCTGTGTAATCGTAGGCTGGTTTCTCAACCCCTCTGAGCCTCACTCCCCTTGCCTATCAAATGCACATAATAATATTTACCTTGCGAGGGATAATGATGGTCATTATTGAGCTAATAAATATAAAGTGCACACCACGAAATGGTTACTCAGTAAGTGGTAACTTGTCACTGTGGTCTGGCCTCCTGCAGCGGAGGTCACTCCCCCAGCCCCGAGGTGATCGTCTACCATGGAAAATAAGTAACTCCTGCTGCTTTCGTCTCAGTTAATGATTCTCTAGCCTCTCGTCCCTGACTGCAACCCCTCCCGTGGGCTGCCTTCCCCGGGAGGAGGGCATAAACACCTCCCAGGGGTGCCCAGGTCCCCAACGTGGAAAGATGGGGCAAAGGAATGGTGGAGAGCAGCCAGCCTGGGGAGAGGACCTCATGTCTAAAGGACAAGCAAGGAAGAGGTGCTCAGCACTTTGATAGGAATGAAGAGCAGACGTGTTGAACTTTGCTGGACAAAGCTCTGAGTCACACAGGAGGCTGGCTGCCTTTTCCTCTGAGTCATGAGGTTCTAGGGGTTTGTGAAACAACTGTCAAGCTCAACTCCAAGCCAACTAGCAGGCAATAACCAGGGGCTGTGTCCATGTCTCATGAGATCATTTCTGAAGTTGGTGCTTGCCTCACTGGGGACAGCTCCAGTTACAGCCCCAGTTCCAGGGAAATCTGAGGGTCCCCACTGCCGCCGCGGACACAAAGCTGGCTCATGGGATGCAGTGACTACAGGCATGAGTAGCCTGGCAGCCTGGGGCTCAGCTGTCACAAGATGTCCGGGTCTCACAGCACCAACACCTCAACAGTTCCATCAAGGGGACTCCTCCAGAGGCCGGGTCTAGCAGACCAGGGCCTGCCCTGCTGAGACGAACGCTTCCGGGCCATGCAGGCAGCAGCCTGGACTCCCCAGCCAATGTCACCACCCTTGTCCCTGGAGAAAGGCAGGCCAGCTAGGAGCCCCCCTCCACCCTCCTCCCATCCCCAAGCCTCCTCTGCCCTCCACACATCTTACATCCCCGGCACTCAGTCTGCGAGGTGTGCTGCCTGAGGTAAGGAGAACACAGGCCTAGGAATAAATAAAGGGGCGCCAGGAGTGGGGAGGACAGGAAAAAGGGAAGCAGGGTCAGGGGGCACCTCCAACACTGGATAGAAAAGTAGAAAACACAGACATAGAGACACAGGAAGGCAGAAGGTGAAGAAATGGACAGTGAGAAGCAGAGAAAGATAAATAGAAAGACGCAGAGGCAGACAGGGTGGTTCTCCCTGTCTCCAGCACCTCCAGGACATGTTCACGGACCCTTGACAGGAAAGGATGGAGTAGGCAGTCACTCCAGACACTGAGAATAACCACATTTTTTTTCCTTCTAATCCTGTCAATCATGGGGAGGAGGCTGAAATATCACGGGCGAATGAGAAGCATGGTATTGGGTGGGGTCCTTGGTTGGAGGAGGGTCTGTGCATCATCCCACATGCGAAGGACATGCAAAGCTACATGCAAATGAGTATGGCAGTGTTTTAATCAAAGACCAAGCGGTGGTTTCCTTGAGAAGTCAGGCCACGAAAAAATCTGGGTGGTTGTGTTTGTGGCCCCGACCCTCTGGAAACAGAGGGATGGAGGGGGAACCTCCCCCAGCTCCTGAGGGGAAGATGAGAACTTTGGAGAAAGGAATCTACAGTGTCACTCGGCTGAGTTTGCATTTGGGCGGGAGCTCGGGCAGGGTGGGCCCCTGGGGTTTGCTGGTCTGGTATAGCGAGATAAGCCCGGGGCAGTTGGGCAGGCCAGTTCTGGACTAGAAAAGACCCCCAAGGATCTCTGGCTCCTGCCTTCCAAATGTGGTTCTTCCAGGTTGGTTATGTCAGCTTGGTTGAGTTCAGTCTGAGACACTGTCCCCATCGAGGGACTGCTATGTACCTGGCCAAGTGCCACCCACTGAGAGAGGCAGAAAAGACGGGCCTACCTGGACCTGAGATCCAGGAGCCAGACACACGCTGGGGGAGAGGAGTCCTTCACTGAGAAGCACTTATCAATACTAGACAGTACACTCCCAGTGCCAAATAAGCAGTGTGGAGAAAGGAAGTCCATGGAGGGTGGAAAAGGGGAAAGGCAGTGTGGGCTCAGAGGAGGATGATGTTTGCTCACCCAGTGGGGCTTCTATGAAAGATAAATAGAAAGATGCACAGGCAGACGGGCTGGTCAGCCCTGTCTCCAGCACCTCCAGGACATGTTCGTGGACACTTGACAGGAAAGGATGGTGTAGGCAGTCACTCCGAACACTGAGAATAACCACATTTTTTTTTTCCTTCTAATCCTGTCAATCATGGGGAGGAGGCCCAGGCCAGGCCTATGAGGGGCCCAGGCCAGGGAAGAGTGGCAGGTAGGAGGAGACAGACGGGCAGACACGGGGAAAGGACTAGGAGAAGGCCACCGTCAGTGTGTTCTCTCCCTCCCCAGACTGTACCCCCTCAAGGAGAATGTGGCCTCAAGGGGCCGCCTTTGTGGCCCTGCCCCTCCTGGGGCCCACCCTGGTCTGGCTGCTCACCCATCATTGGATGTCTGGTTGGTGTGACAGCCTGAGAAAGCTGCCCTGGTGCCCATCCCACAGAGTCTTGTTGCTGGTGTGGACAGCCATCTACTCTATCACGGGGTGAGTGTCTGTTTCTCATGCCCTGGGGTGGGAACAAGTCTCCTATCCCTGAATTGCTGCCGTACACTGACCTCTAAAGAGATGGTACCTCATCTTGACTCTTCTGGGGTGTCCCCTCTGTGCCTGCCTCGGATTCCAACCCCTCCCTCTTCCTCTACCCTCTCCCAGTATCCCCATCCCTTCCCCCACCTGCCCCCACCCCCGGCCCTCAAATGATGCCTAGACCCACTTACCCCGATTTCAGCCCACAGGGATTCCCTCTTGGTAACCAAAAGGCCCTAAGCCAGAGGGCTTTCTCCTTTTACCATAGAACACCCTCCTCTGAGCGTTTCTGCCACCATCTCTCCATAGATATGCCTCCTACCTTGTGTGGAAGGACCTGGGAGGGGGCTTTGGGCGGCCCCTGGCCCTGCCCCTCGGCCTCTATGCTGTGCAGCTCGCCATCAGCTGGACTGCCCTGATTCTCTTGTTCACAGCCCACACCCCCGGTCTGGTAAGGCGCCAGTGCTCAGCAGTGGAATAGGGTAGGGGAAGATGAGGCCACCAGGCCCCAGAAGCTGATAGCACAGCAGGTCAATCAGGTGTGGGCAGGTAACGGTTGGGCAGACTTCTCTGAGCTTCCGTGGCATGCACAGAGCGCTGGGAACTTGGCTCGCTAGGTCCAGGGTGCTGCAGAAAGGTCGAGGGCCGGTTCCCAGGGCAGCCTGCCTGACCGCCCTGCCTCTGCCCAGGCCCTGCTGCACCTGCTGCTGCTCTTCGGGCTGGTGGTGAGCACGGCACTGATCTGGCACCCCATCAACAAGCTGGCTGCCCTGCTCCTGCTGCCCTACCTGGCCTGGCTCACCGTGGTTTCTTCCATCACCTATCGCCTGTGGAGGGACAGCCTTTGTCCAGAACACCAGCCCCAGCCCACGTGGGAGAAGCGTGACTGAGGCAGGGGGCAGGAGACAGGAGGGAGGGCCAGGGTGGGAATAAAGGAGACCTCAGGCAGGGCTGTGGAGCTAGGGTGGGGACAGGGGAGGGCGGGGGGAGGTGGCAGGGCTTGATGAGTCCCTGAAGGTGACTCGCTCCAATGTGGCCACTGTCCTAGGTCGCCTGGTGCCACTTTCCATTAGGATTCAGAGACATGGGAAAGGAGGGTAACTTATTTCACACTTAATATAAAATAAGAAATTCTGTATTAATAAGAATTAATTTGGTAGTATCAACAAATAAAATCCTAATATCTTTGAGGGTATGATGTGAAATGTATACTTGAGTGTATGAGGTCCAGGGCTGCAGGGTGGGAATAGACGTGTCTGTACATCTGTGTGCACGTGCACACGTGAATGAAGGTGTGAGCGCACGTGTGGGAACAGTGGGCACACTATTTCCGCTCACATGCCCTCACAAACCTGACCCCAAAATTTAGGACTTGGATTTTTTTTAACAGATTTTTTTTTTTTTAGTCACACTGCAAGGCTCGTGGGATCTTAGTTCCCCAACCAGGGATCGAACCCTAGGCCCCTGGCACAGAAAGCGGCAAGTCCTAACCACTAGACCGCCAGGGAATTCCCAGGACTTAAATTTTTAATTACCTGAAAAGTAAAGTGTCTTTGAAAAGTTACAGAAAATCAAAACCAAAAAGTAGATAAAGTAAAAAAGGATACCAATTATACTTGTCAAACTATATATTATATTGATTATATATTTTGTATTATGTATCATATATAAATATAAATTATGTATCACATATAAAATATCATATAGTCTACAATATATTAATTTTATTTAATTTATTTTAATTACTATATTATATTAATTTCACTAATAACAGTATCATAGTATATATTATGGTTCTATGATATATTATACATTATATTTGTCATATTAAAACCTTCTGTCATTATCTCTGATAAGATTATAGATCTTTTTTATTTTTGTTTTCATATACTCTTATACTATTAGTTTTTTACATCAATTAATTATTGTTGTAATAAGAAAGAATGTTGAAAAAGGAGAGATGTAAGCCGCGGTGCTGGCTAGTGAATTCAGAAGGAGCTTCTCATCCAGCCTTCTCTCTTACTTCTCTTTCTAAACTTTCTTATTGGCTTTTTTAATTTTCCTCTCTTCCCTCCTCTTGTTTTCCTCTCCTCTTGTCTCAAAGGCCTGATGGTGGCAAGAAGTGACTGCCCCGGGGCTGGCTCCCCAAATCTTAAACAAGGCCAGCTGGAAGACCCAGGCACCTTGCGGAAGGAGCTTTTAAAACTACCAACCAGGGCTTCCCTGGTGGCGCAGTGGTTGAGAGTCCGCCTGCCAATGCAGGGTACACGGGTTCGCGCCCCGGTCCGGGAAGATCCCACATGCCGCGGAGCGGCTGGGCCCGTGAGCCATGGCCGCTCAGCCTGCGCGTCCGGAGCCTGTGCTCCGCAATGGGAGAGGCCGCAACAGTGAGAGGCCCGCATATTACCTAACTTAGATTCCATGGTCCCGCATTATAATTACTCCTTTAAATCTGCTCTTACCTCTTTTGACCCTTTATTGCTTCCATTATATTATCCTAAAAAAAAAAAAAAAAAAAATACCAACCAGACTCTCTAGGGAGGGGCTTGGGCATCAGTGTTTTTAAAACTGCCAGGAACCCCTCATGTGCATCCCACCTGAGAAACACTGCTGAGGGTGTCCCAGAGCCACCTGGGAGCTTATTAAAAATGCGTATTCCTCGGACCCCACCCAAGACCTAGGAATCAGAACTTTGGGGGTGGGCTCCAGGCATCTTTAGATTTAACAAGCTCCCAGCACTTCAGTCAGCTGCTCGCTGAAATTTGAGAGCTCCAGGCATGGGTGGTCTTTCAGGGCCTTTTTTGCTTTGACAACCTTTGGTTCTGTGAGCTGAGTTCTGGGTCTGGAACCAAGGACCACACAGGGGGAACAGACAGAGGACATCATCATTTGAGAAGGAGACTGGCTGTTCCTGGAGCTCACCAAGTGAGGACAAGCGAGAAGGAATCTGCAATCTCCCCGCCTCCACTAAGGGTGTGTTCTGCCCAACTGGGCACATCGGTCACCGGCGTTCCTGGAGGGCACGCACAGTGTCCCACCCACCTCTGTGTCCCCAGCTCCAGAGCAGCACAGAGCACAGAGAAGGAGTTCATACATCTATGTTGATTGGTTGATTGAATAAATGAACACATGATCCAATTAAAAGACAATGCTGACCAGCACCCCACCAACACCTACACCCCACTCTGGACCAATTGAAAAAGCCTCTCTCTTGGGGGAGGGAAAGGCATTAATAGTTGTTGAAATTTCTCAGGTGGTTCTAATGTGCGGGCAGATTGAGAACAGCTGCCGTGGGGCGTTGTTTCTCAAAGTGCGGCCCAGTGACCTCCTGGGGCCCTTATTGATGGCCTGGACTCCAGCTTGGCTCCAGACTCCCAGAATCACATCAGCTTGAGGAATGCGGGCTATAAGGTACGGTGGCTTGCAGTTCCAGCCTTGGAGACAGACCGACTTGGGCTTGGATATTGACCCTGTCATTAACCGGTAACCGGGTACAACTTACTTCACTGTGTTTCATTTTCCTCATCTGTAAAATGGGGACCTCAGAGAATTGGGGGTAAGAGTAAATGTGTCTGGCACAGAGGAGGTGCTCAATGAACATTAGCTGTCCTAGGAGGGGACCCCGGGAGGCCACCTGTTTAATGAGCACCCATGGTTCTGATTCACACTGCAGTGGGGACCCACCCTGCTCTGAGACCCCGGAATTACTTCCCAGACTTCCTAAGGGCCGGGAGAGTAAGTGACCTTCCCCGCAGGTCTGTGGGCCAGCCTGACCAGTGTTACACACACAAAATGATGGGCTCTTTTTCTTACACATTCACGTGGATTTTGACTTCCCCCTCAATCCGATTTTTTAAAGCTTTCAGTTAAATTGATAACTCCATTGATCCAGGTAACTGTTTTAAATTTATAAATGTAATCTATAAATACTGATCGAGGACAGGCTCAGGAGCCACACTGCATGGATTCTTATCCTAGTTCCACTTAAACAAGTCTACACCCCGGAAGTATTTGTCATTGTCATTACCATCACCATCTCGTGTAGGCATTGCAGATACTTGCTACCACATTTTATTCATGTTGCCAACTAATTCTAGAAATTAAACTGGCCCCTCCGAGAGGGTGCACCATGCCTGTCACGTGACTGTGACCTCCGCAGGGCAAGCTGATATCACAAGTCCAGGGGTCCAGATGCCTCTAGTTTTGGATATTGGCCCTAGAAGGAAGCTTGATTTGGGCAGTGTCCCAAGCCCTGGAATAGCATGACTGCCCGGCGCAGCTTCCTGGCTTTGTGCAAAAACAGCTGGAAAGGGCAGGATCTCCAACCCCAAACTCGTATCCTCTGACCCCAAAGTCATCCTTAAAATCCCCCTCAGCACCAGCTCCTTGGTTCCTGAGTGGGAGCCTCTAATCCTCCAGCCTCCCCACCTGCCTGGCCTCTTGCCCTTCCTCTACCCCGCCTCCCAGTTCTGAGGCCGGTCTGGAGCACACACTGCCCTCGGCCCCTCCTCTCTTGTTACCTAGAGTTATGCCCAAATCGAATCGGAGCTGCCTTCTCTCTTTGCCAGATGTGTCCCGGGATTCCACCATCCAAGTCACGTGTGTGTGCTTCTGTGTCCTTGGGCAGTGTTTTTCCATTTGCCTCTGAGTGGGCACCTGGTGTCTGAATATGATTCACTCGGTGGGTAGGGGAGAGGTAAGGCCTTCACCAGTGTCTGGAGAGGTGGGGAGCAGCTCCAGGTGAAACAGCAACCCCAGGAGGCAGTGTGATGTCTCATTCTACTGTATCCTAGTTCCCTCGCTTCTCCCCTGATCCCTTCATTCTTCCTTTTGCCAATGTCTGCAGAATGGGGATACATAGGGGCAGGTGAGGTGGGCAGAACGGTAGGTGTATGTCCAGTGGATAAACGTTGGTCGGCTGGGCTGGGAGGCGGGCAGAGTGCAGGAAGTGTTTTCTCTGTGCATCTGTGGTCCCTCCTACCTACGGGCAGGTAGAGGTGATGCCCTAGTGGAGGCGTAAGGCCCCCAGCTACTGTCAGGCCCGGGCCAGGGCTCCAAAGTCTTGCTTCCCTTGTGGTGACAACCATCCATTCTATTTCCTGGGGTTTCCCTGTACTCCGAGCCCAGTTTCAGAGTCTCCCCAGAGATCCCTTTTCCTGTTGTTCCAGAAAACAAGCACAAGACCCTTTTGTTTTAAAGATTTATTGCTGATCCTTGTCAGTGACAAACTAGTTACTCATCCAAACAGAGCCTGACTTTGGGGGGATCCACTCAGATCTGGACCACCCCTGCCACTTCCATCCTCAAGCAGAGTCCACCGAGGCCCCTCCCCCCTACCTAGACTTCAAGGACCCTTCCTAACAGAGGTCCCCTCTTCTGGCATGAGAGTTAAGAGAAGCCTTCTTTGTCACGCCAGGAGCTTCAGTGGTATCTAATCAACCCCATTTGTCCCTCTAGTGTCTATACCTCTGAGGTCCCCCAGCCTGCCCAAAAATGCTCTGCTCAGAGGAGCACGCAAAAAAGCCCCTCCCCCCCTCCCCCCTCCACCTTCACCTACTCCAACACATTTCTAAGGGCTGAAAGTCTCCTCTCAAAAGTTGATTGTTAAGTTTATCGCTTTCTCCCAGTAGGTTCTTCAAACACCCTTTCAAAGGGGAACACTATTAGTCACCTTAACGGGCATGATTCTTATCAGATCGCTCTCCTCAAAGACTCAAAGCACCAGCTGCGGGAGCCAGGCGGTGCCAGGAGTGGCCACTGGAATGGAAGACCGCGGTGACCAGGGATAAAGTCCCAGGTGTCACCATTTTCCCCAGGGCGGTGTGTCCTGCATGGCCAGCCAACCGTGATGTCCTGCACAGGAGATTGGAAACTCCCGCCTGCCCTGTGA